AGTAAGTAACAGTGATTGGTCAGTATAGAATCTAGGGTTTAGTAAGTAACAGTGATTGGTCAGTATTAGAATTAGGGTTTAGTAAGTAACAGTGATTGGTCAGTATAGAATCTAGGGTTTAGTAAGAAGGTTAGGCAAAGCATACCATCTAGACATTGAGTATGGCAACATTGTCTGATTCTAGCAAGGGCCTGTTTGTTCTAATGAAATGTAACATAAAAAATTGCATTTAACTCTAATCTTATTTCAAAGAAACAAACCACAGAAAAATTATATTTTTGAATTAAAAAAAAAATCAAATAATTTTTTGCAAAGAAAGGAATTTGATAGAACTAATAATATTTTACTTTTAGTATTTATACATGTACCTCAAGAAAAAGAAATACTTCAGATGAAATGTGAAATGATTGTTTGCAGGTGAAGCCATGGAACAGGGATTGCGTGACTGCTGCAGGTCAATACGGATTGGTAAAATATTAATTAAAAGTGATGAGGAGACTCAAGAAGCAAGAATTTTCTATGCCAAACTACCTCAAGATATTGATCAGAGAAAAGTGTTATTGATGTACCCCATACTAAGTGAGTTAAGATTCTCTATAAGGTTGATATTGCATGGTTTACACCAGAGTTATTGCATAAGAGTTGTCGAGGTTTGGTACTTTCTTGATTGTTTTGAGTGTTAGTAAATTGGATAATTTTGAGCAGAAAACAAAAAAATGGTAAACATCTATAATATAATATGAGGTTATTATGAGGATACGGAATAGTATGCACAAGACAGTACAGCAGGAGTATTGAACATTGCGCAGAGGAGGTCAATGCAACGGCATACTCTCTGAGTTCATACTTTGTGGTATCCTCACAATAACCTTATTATTATACATCTTTTTCTCTAAAGAATAAATGGGAACCTTGGGGGTTTCCATCTTTGTTTTTATTATTAGAGGACGCTCACGCGTGTAATCGCTACATATTTGGAATTTGCGTTTCCTAATATGGTAGGACGAAAATACCTAATGCAGTACCGCAAAATTATGGCATGCTATAATGTATGGCGTTACATTGAGAGATGTATAATAATATTTAGTATCTCTATTTACTACATTTCTGATGGTATCATGGTCGCCGCTCCATAATTTGGAATACACAATTTAGTTTAATGATTAACATTTTCTATTGTTAGGTAAATTAGCCAATTATTTTGATTTGCTATTTTCCCACAAGTGGAGAACATTTTTTCCTGCTATACTGATTTCATGACAGCTACTCTCCGCTGTGCATCAAGAAACCAAGTCTATATTTATTTTAAGTTGCAAAGAACTTAGAAGAATGCTTATAAAATCCTATATTTGTAAACAACTGCCATCCATTAACTTTACTCATTATCAGAAAATTACTTTAGTTTGAGGTTTGAGAAGTTATGACCTTTGTTCTCTGAATATATTTTGTTAACCCATTATCTCATCAGATATTGAAATTGTTTTAATTGTTAGGTTCTGGTAACACAGTTATACAAGCAGTAAATGTATTACATGAGCATGGAGTCAAAGACAAAAATATTTTTCTTCTAAATATATTCACAACACCACAAGGTTAGTTATCCTGTTGTATCTTTCCTTCAATAAGTCAATCGGAAAAGGCATATGTAAACAAAATAATCGGTACTGTTTTCTGATAGACCCTGGAAAAAATGGATTTACCTCGCCTTCTTTCATGTTAAACAACTGGTCTGTACGCCATAACATACAAGTGCTTCACCACTCCAAAATCCGTATCCAAGATGGCTGACTGTCGGCCATTTTAATGCTAAAATAGCACATCACCTTCGAACAAGAGGATTCCAGAAAATGTAGAGGTATTCCAGGATTTCAGAAGATTGACAATAACAAACTGGTTTGAAAGATGCCTGGAGCAAACTACACAAAATTCAGTTTTTACAGGAAAGCAACACGTTTTATGTGCTAATTAGCTGTTTTTCTTCAAAATCAGTTCAAGTCAGAGATTTGGAATGAAAATGACTCATTGGCCACAGATACAAGTAGCTGTAACTTTAAACCAAATATTACTATAGCAACTAGTTCCTGGAGTGGTTGTTATTTTTACTTGCTCATTGGCAGCCCACTCAAACAACGCCATGTTCCTGATATAGCATAATGGGATGGACACTTAAGATAGAATCCACCGAATCAACTAAATTTGATTGCTGTGCTGGACAATTTAAGCACATTGCGTCAAATTTGAAATGCAATTGAAATGTTTTTATATTTGCTTATCTGTTTGATTGAAAACAGTGCTACGCAACAACCTCATTTTGCTATATCAGGATCCATGGTGGTAACCAAATGTAAATAATGCCCACTCTGACAACGCTGTGGGATCCAGGGCTATATAGCACTAGTCCAATACCTGTTTTTTTTCTTGACAGCTATCAGAGCAGTAGTGGATGAACACCCAGAGCTGACAGTATTAACAACTGAAGTGCATCCAGTTACTCCTAATCACTTTGGACAGAAGTATTTTGGCACCGATTAGTACATATATTTTATATTTCTTATTTATACTGACAAAGACATGTATCCTATATAATCTTAGATTATTTTAACATTAAAAAAACTCTTTACTACCTTATGCATTTGTGGAGGTATGAAGATGCATCCCTGAAAACCACCACTAGTCTTGCCTTACTCAACTTTGATCAGAATCTTATATTTAGTGCATCATTAGCCACTGTTATGGTATTAGCAAGTCAGGGAATAATAGCAGGTCAGTAGCATAACCAAGTTTTTTAGCTCCGGTGTTGACTTTGTCGAGCAGAGTTTATCATATGAATGATTATCAGTCGGCACCAGTGTCGGGGGGGGGGGGTAATTCTTATTGCTTTGATACTTAGTGTATATGTACCTTGGGCAGACTCATAAAAGTGCATGTGAAGAATGATGCCCTCTATTGACCACAATGAAAACCGAAAGTCCGATTGCTTTGATATTATACGTATAGGTAGTACAGATTTGTTCATTTTCTAATATCTTCAGTTCTGTAATTGAAACGTGCAGAGCTATCTCAGCCGGAAAGGCTGCTTGTTTTTTTTCAGCTTAATCTTGCTCTCCTGAATATGGTTGTATTAGTCATTTGGTGGAAGCGGAGGTGTTTAACCTTTTCACCACCAGAATCGCATTCAAATTATTCTACACTTTTTTTCTGATATTCTTCAATATTTCTGGAAATGAACCCTAATTTTGGAGTCAATTTTCAGTTTTTACTCAAAAAAAATTG